AGGAGCAGGCAAGTAAAACCATGCAAGAATGTAGATAGTCCCTCAGGCAACTTCTTAAAAGGGTTTTCCAGGTGTGTAGGTTCCATTTCCTAGTGGACCTCATGCCCCTGTTGAATCCTACTTTTGCATGATCCTACTGTCCTGCTGAGTGTGGCATGTCTCCAGATACAGCAAACTCATTTGAACCCTCTCTAGTTGACACTGTTCAGAAATACGGAATCCAGGAAACCCTATTCCACTGACAGTGAAACAGAACTAACCACATGGGCAGGCAGGAGCCCTAAAGAAAATAGTGATTCAGCCCAGAACCTTGCTAGAATTTCTTCCATGAGTGTGGATCAGCTCCCTGAACTGGTTAATAAAACCAAACTTAATTTTCAATTATTAAATTCTGTTGTTAAACAAATATAGGCCATGAATTGTGTGCCATCATAAAAACTTTCAGGAACTAATTTGGTTAAGACGTATATGTGTCAACATCTGACCAATCCGTTAGTTTTCTGGCACCATCTTCTACCCATTGGGTAGTGCAGGACTTGGCTTCAGCCAGTACAGAATCAAATTTTGTGTTTACAAATCCTGAACTAAAACCTAAACATACCAATTTTCAGTGGTAAGGAGTCAGTGCTTAAAACACAGTTTCTATATGCTGCTACATATTTTCCAGGTCTATGTCATGCAGAGAGAATTCACAGGTCTATGCGGGTTCTCTTCTATCTTTTAGGTAGAAACTGGCATTGCATTTGCAATTTTTTTCTGTCCTTCAGCCTATGTTCTACTAAGTGCTGGTAGTCTTTAAGACAAAGGGTCCATGAAACACTTTTTTTAAGGCCTGTTAGGCATTTTTTGCTACTGCCTTTAAAGATACGGGACCTTTTGAAGCTTGTATGTTAACTAATGGACTGTGATGTTCTCAACTTGCTGAACTATATCACTTTACATAGAATATTTATCTGCAGTTGTAGGTTCTTTCATTAATGTCCAATTTTTGAAGTCTGCAGTTAAACTCATCCAGATTTACTATGATCTTCAGGATTGCTTTTCTAAAATGTATAATTTTTTAATTGGAACTGGTAAGTTCAGCTGGCTGATTTTCTCTTTTTTTTTTTTAAGGTCAGGACTTTTAATTATCGTCTGAAAGTGGATGATCATTTATTTAATGTGATTGAATTTTTGTTTGTCTTTTCAAAAATCAAAACTTTTGTTTTGATTGAACATTGTTTGTCAAACCATGTTCTGACTTAATATTTTGTCCAGGAATACTTTCAGCTGCTATCAGCACATTTGTGGCAAACTAGATGGAATGTTGTTGAAGTACACAAAAACATTTTTCAGCTGTTTAAATGTGTTGTGCCAGTAGGAAACATGGGATTGAGCTGGAAATCACTGTGAGCCAACAGTGGAGGATATGAGTTTAAGTGACAAATCACTAAAGTACAGAAACAAAGCAAAGTAGCTCAAGTTCTCATTTCCTTTTCCTCTTCTGCAAAAAAAGTCAGAATGATAAATGCCAAGCAATAATGAAAAATGCTCATAAGATCTCATTTTAACTCTGTTGACAGCAAACCTTGAAGGCATTATCAGTGTTTCTCCCATTGAACAGATCTTGCCACTGAACCCACCGTCATCACTGGCACAAACTAACACCAGGGCTGGAGAGCTCAGGAAGAAAGCTTGTGACAGAGTAACTTGTCCTGCAAGTTACTCTGGTCTCCTGGTCTCACCATCAGTCCCCATAGGCCAGTGTTCACTAGACTCTGTTAGAGGTAAGTCTCAACATTTAACAAATCCCCTGTTAAGTTCAGAGCTCAGCAGCAATGACCTATAAACAGAGGAAGCTCTTAATTATCCAGATCTTCATCTGACTTCTCAGACCACATGCCTCCTCCCAGCCAAAAGCAGGAGGGGTGGTCCAGCTCTGCCAGTGACTCTCCTTACACTGGAGACACTAGCAATGATAGATCTGTGGGGCTTACACAGCTTTGCACTGTAGAACTGAAACTGAACCTTTGACTCGTAAAGATACGTATCTTCAGACAATACAGTTCTCATTCTGAAGATGAAAGGCTGCTGGGGTGCCATTGATTATTTTGGAAATTATTTTCACCAAAGGATGCTGGTACCTCTCCCAGTCTGAATCTATAGCCCACCAGGACTAGAGCCAGGGGCGTTCCTCTAATAACAGAACAGTAATGTTACTTCTTATTTTACTTATGCCACAAATCACACAGCTTGATAGCTAGGAAAAGTTCCTGGTATACATATTTCATTTTAGCATGTATAAAGACATCCACGTGATTTGTAAGTGTAATAGTAAGTGTGAATGCTCTGAGAAAAGTCATATTGGTCACAGAATCCATAACAGCTAGCTCCAGGCCTTAAGCCTGAAGGTGAAAACATATATGAGGTACAGTTTCTTTTGTGTTATCATCAGGAAGCCTATCTTGCTGGTTAACAACTTGTATTGTATTTTGTCATATCTTCTGAATAACCTCACTAACTACTTAATAAAACACTTCAGAGTAAGTAAAATAATAATAAATAGTGCTCTCTTCTGTACCTTGTTAAAGTGAGTATTATTTCCTCCATGTGTTTAACCTATTTACCGATGTGTTTTGGCACTGCTACGTAACATAATAGAATTTTTCAAACCAGCACATTCAAACACCTTCCCGTTTTCTTGTGTAATAGATACCCTTTTTGCCCTTAATGGCACTCTGTTATGATCACACTTGGCACAGAGAGCAGGGTGGTTTTTTATTCCAGTCATCTGACACACCATGCTTGTTTTGGCTTAACATAAAAGTGTGTTTCCTTTTACCAAGTTCATGACAAAAATGCTCCTCTGACTTACGAAATTTCTGGCATGATCAGTTTATTGAACTGAGGATAATCACATAGTATCATTCTTAAGCAAGAAATAAATCATAAAAACAGAGAATCATAGAATCAACTAGGTTGGAAACGACTTTAAGATTACCAAGTCCAACCACTGCCCCAGGACTGGCAAGTCCACCACTAAACCATGTCACTAAGGGCCTCATCTACACAGTTTTTGAACACTTCCACGGACAGTGATGACACCACTGCTCTGGGCAGCCTGTTCCAGTGACTGAAGTGACTTGCTGTGAAGAAGTTGTTCCTATTATCTGATCTAAACCTCCCCTGGTGCAGCTTCAGGCCGTTACCTCTTGTCCTATCATTTGTTACTTGGGAGAAGAGACCAACCCCCACCTCACTACAACCTCCTTTCAAGCAGTTGTAGAGTGATAAGGTTCCCCCTGAGCCTTCTCTTCTCCAGACTAAACCCCCCCAGTTCCTTCAGCCATTCCTCATCAGATTTTGCCCCAGACCCTTCACCAGCTTTGCAGCCCTTCTCTGGGCTTGCTCCAGCACCTCAATGTCACTTTTGTAGTGAGGGGCCAGAACTGAACACAGGATTCGAGGTGCAGCCTCACCAGTGGTCAGTACAGGAGGATGATCACTGTCCTGGCCCTGCTGGCCACGCTATTTGCTTCATGCTAGTTGCTATTCATTTGGTATTTGCTAAAGGCTTCAAGAAGAGGGTGCTTTTAGGGTGTTTTTTAAAGACAGCCATTCTCTGCTTCCACCCCATGTCTGATCCCTTTATATGGAAATGCTTTACTTGTAGCAGTCAAGGCCTTCAAGAGCTGCACTGTCCCACAAGCGTGTGAACACTGGAGTGCTCCATGGATTTAAGCTCCAAGTAGGAGTCAATGAACACTCTTGTGTCAAAGATGGACAAGGACACACACAAAAATCCCAAACCAACAAACTGGAAAGATCTACTTGCTTTCTTTGATTAGTCATTACTTCAGCGGAGATCCTTACACTAACTAGACAGGTCTTGGGTAGAGGGGAAATAAAATTTTCAAAGAATTAATTTTCCTCATCAATATCACTCTGGCTTTGCTTCCACTAAGATTCAATGAGTTGCTCCTTGTCAAAACTCTCATTTCATAAAAGCTGTGTGAAGCTTCAGTTTATGAAACAGTAGGTAAATATATTTAGTGAGCAAGAGACATGTAGCAAAACATCCCTGCAGACAAGGGAGCTCCTGACATTATACCATCTCTCCCAGTCTCTCAGTTCTGTTGAAAAACCACTAGATGGATGCCAGCGGGACACTGTTTTTGAGATCTCTGCAGTGAAAGGTGCCTAAAAGCTATGGTTCATTTCTTCCTGTCTGCTGAATACAAAAAACTCCACGTAGAATGGGAAATTCATGCAGAATGCTCAACTCTTTCAAAGGTCCAGATAACTAAATATGAAAGGCTGTGAAAGGAGTAGGGCTGAAGAATATCCCACATTTGACCAACAGACATGAAGGCAGCACAGCTATTCAGAAAATAGCCTGGGAGTATTCTTCACTGGGGTTCTGTTGCACCCAATAAAGCACAGGATGAGGAGAGTGTCGTGGTTTAAACCCAGTCAGGCAACTCGTTCACTCACTCCCCCACTTCTTTCCCTCCCCCTACTCCCAGAGGGATGGAGAGGAGAATCGAAAAGAATGCAGCTCCCATGGGTTGAGATAAGAACAGTTTAGTAACTAAGGTATAACACAAATCACTACTGCTACCACCAATAATAGCAATGATAAAGGAAATAGCAAGGGAAGAGAATACAACATCTCACCACCAGCTGACCGATAACTCACCCCCCCCAGCCCAACCAAGCTCTGCCCGACACCTCCTCCAACCCCGCAGTCCCAGCCCTTCTGGGTAACTCTCAGTTACATCCTGGGCATGACGTGCTGTGGTATGGAATACCTCTTTGGCTAGCTTGGGTCAGGTGTCCTGTCTCTGCTTCCTCCCGGCTTCCCCTCCTCCCTGGCAGAGCATGAGGCTCACAAAGTCCTTGGCCAAACAAAACGTCACTGTTATCAGCTCTGTTCCCAAGCCGAAAGTCAAAACACTGCACTGCACCAGCTACCAAGAAGGAGAAAAATGACTGCTACTGCTGAACCCAGGACAGAGAGGAAAGAAAATAGTTCATATTACTTTCAAGTATTCTTATGCCAAACCTCTCAAACTGTGGCTTTTAGGTGAGGCTATCTGAACAACAGAAATGAAGCAGAATTTTTGCTACTGCTAAAAAATCACCATATTTGATCGTACACTACACAGTAACAACTGATTTTACTCTGGAGGCTTTTGGAAGTTGTGATCTGATAACACACTACAGTTTTGATGCTCATGACTCCCCAGCTCAATTTTATTTCTCTCGTGTTTTGGCTGAAATGTATGAGTGCATGTGTGTGTGTATTCATGCACACTCATACACACACGTGTGAGTATGCATGCATACATATGCATGTGTGTTACATCCAATTCATGTTGCAGGTTTTGGTTTACAGGACTTCTGGTAGACGATCAGTCTGTCTGGAAGAAAAGTACGCCCACAAACATCACATGGAACGAGCTGGTTCTGGGCGCTGATCCAGGCAGCCTCATTTAAAGAATTGAGATCGTAGAAACCTTTGGCTGGAAAATTAAAAAAAGAAAGTATCAGCTTTCATTCTGCAGACCCACATTCAACTCTTTATGGAAAATATTTTCAGGAAATACCTGTTGACTGAGCCTTTCAGTTTAACCAAACCATATTGCTTTTGCAAATGAAAAAGAAAGAAAAGAAACAAAAGAGAAAAAAAAATACATAAAAAAGATTCTGCTTTTTGTCCCAAGGGTTGAATTAAATTAACTTCAAACTGAATCATTTTGTATTGTATGAGAGTACAGAGAAAACATAGATCATGCTATGTGTTATGAGATGCATTCTCAGCTAATTATTAACATCTTTACGTACACACTATTATCAGCAAATTTCACTTTTTGGCTTTACTTCAAGTGCTGTTCAATGAGCATGTGTTATAGCAATGGTTAGGGGCATATCGTACTTGAGAATATGTTCTTTGTACTTCTCTGGAAAAGGGGCCGAATTTTCTTCCTGTTAAAGTCTATGCAAGCTTTGTCAGTAAGTCGGGTTAAGCTTAGGTAAGCCTAAAACCTTTACAGACAATACCTACAGTTCTTGTAAGCCATAGCTTCCAGTGAGGTCATTGCAGTAGTGCATCTATTGTCATCTAAACACTAACCCAGTCTTACCCTCAGTTATTTTCCACTGTGGGAAGAGTGACTGCTCGGAAAGCTCAGGAGTATTCTTCAAACATTCACTTACATCAGATGTATTTTCAATATTTTATTTGAGTATTAAAAAATATCTTGTTTACTTTCATCTTGAAATGGATTTTCACACAATGTTGTTTCAAACTGATTTCCAAAGAGGCCAGGTAGGTTGCTCAATACCTGGATTTAGATCTTAAGAGTATTCATTTGAAGTACATGCAGAACAAAATCTACATGGCTCAATTTGAAGATGTATTTGCTTTGCTCGTCTCAAAACGTATGACAATAGAGAAAAAGAATAAAAAAAATTGGTTTTGTCTTTGTACTGCTAGCAGCAGACGATATTTTAAAAGAAAAGGATTTGTGCATTTAAAAATATTCCATGGTTTCTGTCATTGGCACATGATAGACCTCTTCATTAAAGGCCCATACAGTTTTAATATGATTCATATCTATTGGTTCACATAACCACAATAAGCCTTAGATCTCTTAATATGCCTGTTCCTAATGTTCTTTTTGTTAGAAGAGCAACCAAATAGTGTTTCTTTTCTTGGCTGAGACAAATATCCCCTTTGCTTGCAGGAAATGAATGTGTATTTTCTGTACTTCGGAAAGTTTATGGAATATAAAAAAAAAAAAGAGAAAGAGAGATGACTTTCTCCTTGCAGGCATGTGTTAGGCATTCCGCAAACAAAACACTGTGTAATCAGGGCAGTGGTTGTCTTCCCGTGACACTTGAGTTTTCAGAAAAAGATTTATGAAAGTTATAAAAAGTTTTATGTAAGCAGCTAATATTTCTAAGCTTTTTTTTGAGCATCGGCTGTTCCATTCAACAACAGGGGTAATCCCTCCTCCCTAAATTGAGAGACTGTGAGACATGCAGTACGTGTATGTGGTCTCAAGGTCAGTTATAGCATTTACCAGATGATTGCGAGTAAGTCTTATGGAAAAAGAACAACACTGAGATTATTTTCTTGAGGCCAGGAGCATGAGGCAACTGCAGGGGAAACAGAAATTTTAGCTTAAGCTACAGAACCGCTCAGACTTGCATCAGCAGGCATTTAAGAACAGATGCTGGAAGCAGGTCAGTGTCCCCTGGGGAACCATGGGCACACACCACCTCATAGGAGATGGTGGCGCCTGATATGACTCATTGCATAAATGAGACAATATTCTGATTCATATCTGGGAGCCTTTTGCTGGATTGTTCTCTCAAAGAGTGGTTGTCTTTCTGCTTTCACTCCTTCAAAATAAAATAGTGTATTTCAAAATAACCTGATTTGTCCTTTTGCGTCCTCCTTTTTCAGATGGAATTCTCATTTTCTCCATGTTTTTTACCACACAACATGTAATATTAAGAAGAGCTTAACAAAAAGAGCAAATACAATGAAAATGCATTTTCAAATCTGTCTTTTACTACAGATTCAACTCTTCTGCTTGGAATTTGTTAACAAAGTCCTGATTTGATATTATTTGAGCTATGATTATTATTATTTTGGACAGCTGACTAGTATTCCCAGTGACCCTGCTCTTTTCTGTGTATGTCTTCTGTGGACATATTTCTTTGTACTGCTGCAAACTGATCTAGTGTGTGACTCTTTCACAGTGAGCTGTAGGAGAATTTGCTCACTTTTACAGACATTAGGGGAAGCTGCAGGAAATCATGGGGAATATTAAATAAAGTGGGTGAATTAACTGCCTGTGAGCAAGTGATGCAAATTTGGCCCAAAGTAGCTCAAACCAGCTGACAGGGCCAGGGAAAGCATCAGGCTGACATGGTGAAATAACTTTATGTGGGATTTGAGCAGTTCTAGGAGCAGCTTCTAGGCAAAGCACAGTTAATATTTCCTTTTGGTCCAATATTGAGTACATACTCCTGAAATACATATGGGAGCCCAGGTCTGTTGGGTGCTAGGGATCATCAGTTTTCATAGATCTGAAGAGGTGGGATCTAGGCAACTTACAAAACAGAACCTACAGCTCAAACACACATAATTGGCAGAAATATAATATTTGGTTTATACTACATATATTTTTTCCCCACTGTGTTTGTAATACAAACATTATAATAGTCTGACAAAGAAAGGCTTGTTCTAAGGCTTGTAAATCCTCTGGATGTTCATTGTAAAAGATACTACATTTTCACCCATAAATATATTTTGATAAAAAATTGAAACGACAGTATATGTTATGGGGGGATTTTACAGAACCATGGAATGGTTAGGGATGGAAAGGACCTTAAAATCATCTAGTTCCAATCCCATTAAATGACCTTAAGGTCCTAAGTCTAACACATTTTAAAAATACCTTTTTTCTACCAGTCATCATGCATCTAGTATTGTATTTCCTATTTTACCACAGAACTGGAGGCCACTCACTATTTACCACTGTTAAGTGCTAGTGTCAGGCTGTTTTTTCTAACCAATGCTGTAAGTGTAAAACCTGGCTGAATTATCTATCGCTATGTTGAAGGGTATTTTATTTTAATGACTGTATGAGTCAAGTCCATACATTATCCTTGAATGCTTTTTCCCATTTTAAAAAGTGTCTGTTTACAGCATTGGAACTAGTCAAATGGTAATGATGTAGCTGTGAAGCAGTTTGATAATCCTTTTGTGTTTTGATTCAGAACATACTGACACATAAAGAGGACTGTCCCAGGAGGCATGTTCCACAAGGCAGCAACTACTCTTATTTCTCATGGATGCAATACAGAAGGAGAACAAGATAGTCAACAGAAAGCTTAAAACAAGCCTTTATGCCTACATTCTCTTTGGAGTGAACAGGAGATATAAGTACTTGCAAACCATGAAGTTTAAACTACTACTTAAACTACTGCTTAAATTTTATTTTGTTTTTATTCCTCCTACTTTCTTCCTCCCATTTTCTTATTTCATCTGTAGCTTACCTTGCACAGGTATGACTTCAGGCATTTTGGGCCCTGGCCTTCTCAGGTGCTTGGGTAGCAAGGCATTCTCCTGGTGCCATTTTTTCAGGCATTGTGGCTCATGGATACTAATTGATTTTGTTCCATACTCACAGCCACATATGTAACAAATCACTGTTGGTGGCTGTCTTATCACTTGTGCCTGCAAATAATAATTGTGAGAATACTGTTTTCAGCATTAATTTTGAGTGAGAACAACTTTGAATTGAAACAATCATATAGATTAATGAAACTATACCGTGAAATCAGTGTAACTGTATCAGTTTATCAGTTTTGTTTTTGTCTACATACAGTCTTGAAGCTTGTAAGGAATACTCTCATTAACTGGCCAGCTGGGACAGGTAGGTTCCTGCAGATATTGGGCTGACGATCTGTGTGTGTCACCTAATTAATACTTAGCTATGTAAGTTTTAGATCTTTTATTTTCACATCACCGAGTTGGTGGAAGTGCTGAGCACCTTCACATGCAGAAACAATTCCTCTGCATGATCAAGTTGCTCCAGCACAGTGTCCACCTTAAATGCTGAAGCCCTTTTTTTACCTACCAAAGGCAAGGATCATGGAAAACAGCAACAAAAGCTTCCTTAGTTGAACTGCTGATGTCTAGCACAGTGGCAGAAAGACCCCATCTCCAGGCAGAAAGAACATAGTTAAAGCACTGTGTCCAGCCTTAGGATCTCTCTTCAGCCAGCCAGTGAAGGTAGCCGTTTCAAGCTTGTGATTATGGTCCCTAATGATGTGTAACTTCTGCCACAGACCAGCAAGATGGTAGAATTCTTGGTCTGGAAGGATTAAAACCAATCCAGGATTTTTGAGGATTGGGGGAGCAAAATAGGAACTGTTGTTTGTTTACCTTGAAGGCCTCAGTGTGAACTTTGCCAGTGACTGCAGTGAGGGCAGAACTGTATGCTAAGCAAGTCATTGTTTCTGCACTGCAGATCTGCTTTTGTTTGCAGAGAAAAACATCTCAATGGAAGAAAAAAATCCCTCAACCAGAAACACCACACATGCATATTCTAAGCTTGAAAAATATATAATTACGGTGGTATTGAGGATAATGGGTTTGAGTGTGTTGTTAGGTGTGTCCTGGGCTAGGCATGCTGTCAGTACGAGTGCTGCTCCAGAATAGTGTAAAAATGTACTGCAGGGACAGCACTTTGAGGCATGCTGATGGGTCTCACAACTGCTAGCACTGCCTGCACTACTGACTGCAGAATACCAGTAAGAGTCATGCTATAGGCTGCCCCCTAAAGGCAGAGGGACAGCCCTTCCAGACCAAACACAGGAAGCCTTTCTCACTCAAAAAGGGAGGTGGGGATTTCATTTTCTCATCTGCTTCTGTGTAAGACAAAGTATAACCTGTTTCTAGTATTTATGATTCTTTCTGTGTATTCATCAGTGTATTCAAGAAATTGGGCAGCTTTTCTCGCATTTATGCTAGAGTCTGAAAAAGTCATTAGTGAATGATCTGCATAAGCTTTCTTTCCTGTATCACACATGTAAACTCAATTACGTGAAGAAATACTACTCTACAAAATGTGTTTTTGCTGGGAAAAGTTGGACTTCATCTGAAAAGTTCTCACAGTGACTTGAAATATAACTTATCCAAAGATGTTTTTTTCCAAGGACATTTTTGTCCGCTTAACTTTTTCCTTAGCTATCTTTGATAACAAAGTTTTTTATATATATACATATCCTTCTCTTCCTGTCCATAGCTGAATATAGCAACAGCTGTTTTAAGAATGCCCCCTAATTTTTCATTATCAATTTTCACCTGCTTCCTTACTTCAGCTCTTGAGCTAGATCTTGTCTGATACGGAGATAAGACTCTCGGTGCAGATACAGAGTCTTTTGAACATAGTGAATGTTTTTTTGTAGGCTCCAGAGAGCTTTAGATAAAGATACTACAGTCTAAACCCTTGAGGTCAGGAGGGTCATTTCAGTATGCATGATTATCATGGGTATGTTTATAGCATTTTGAAAATGGTTTTCTAAAAAAAAATGCTAGGCATAAAAACACTGGAAACACATTTTCCTCACTAGATTTCATTAGCTAGGTTCCTGACATTCAGTGAAATAGATTATTTATTGGCTGAAAATGAGGAAAGAGCAACTTGATTTACAGTCACTTTGTAGAGACTCTTTACATACTACCAGAACAGGGAAACGGGATCCTAGTACAAATGAAAATCTTGCTTATTTAGCCTGCACTGCACTTGCCAACATATGGGGCAGCATAATTAAAAAAAAATGTATAGTTTCAAGGGGACTTAAGTCCTGATATTAGACAGGTAAGAAATCACTTAAAAAATTAAATACTCTCAATAAATTTAACAGACAAACAGAAATATCTTTGTAAAAATCAAATAGTTTTTCATCTTAGCTGTATTTCCCTAGTGAAGATAGCCTTTTGTCTCTGACTGCCTCATTCAAATCTATTACACTTGTTTTAAAGTTACTGTGATGTTTTACTATTGAACAACTGCCACAGATCAAGACAAGAGCTAGTGATCTCTATCCAGGGAAACCTGGATACATTTCCACAGTTTTGAGATGATCGTTCTGGCAGTCTCACTTGAAAACCCAAAGATTGAATGAGCAGTACTGTGAACCCTCCACGTTGTGACAGAGTGTTTATAGGCTTTATATGTTTATATAGCTTTTGTGTTGCAAATGAGTAAAACCAGGCGTGCAGTTAAATAGAGGATTCTGGTTCTAAAGTTATCTATTGGGATTGATTCATAACTAAATCCTATTTGTTCAAACTTTGTTTAAGAAATCTGTTCAAGTAGAAATGTCTATTTTGTAACTTCTACAATTAAAAACTGTACAGAAACAATAGCAGAGACCAGAATTAATTAAAACCGATCAGATCACTCTAAGGATGGATTTATTCTTTTTTCCCCCCAGAAATGCAGTGAGTTTGAGCCATCACCACAAGTCCAATTATGTACAGAAATCCTTCTCTGCAAATACACATATGTTAAAAAGCTGAAAAATAAAACTTGAAGGAGAATATCCTTACAGTTGGTAGTAACAGCTCTGCTGTTGCTTCACTGTGGAATCTAAGGTATGATAAGCTTTATTTTTGGAATTTCTACAGCTGATAATATTTATCCTTCATTTCTTTTTCTCTTCAGTGTGCCTGTCCCAAATGTCACATCTGGAGGCCTGCAGTTTGAAACTAAACTATTTTTGGAACCACCACAATTTTCCAACCCAAACCACTTGCAGGCCAGTGGCTAGGCTGTCTGCTCACTGCTTTGTTTTTCACTTTAAAAAGGGTTGTAGGGAAGGTCTGTTCCTGAGGATATGTGTTATTATAAAAATACCTACAAATACCTGACTGTGCAGTTAGACTTTCCTCTGATGTCTCAGTATTTTCTTTTTTCTCCAAGACTGCTAAGTATGTCTGTGTGACTATGAATGAAGTTATTTAGCTCAGAGGGCTATGCCACTATGTATTTTCAATAGACCCAACATTACTTGACGTTAGCCCCAGGCTGCTGTTATGGTGTTATGTGAGGTCAAATCCTCCCATACTGCACAAAGCTTTTAATTTCTTCTTAAGTACACCCAATAAAACTGACTCCCAAAACCCCCTCATAAATACTTATCGTCCGGGACTGTGCATCCCCCACACCTTCCTTATTTGGTTAATTATGCATGTATTTGAATGGGAGGAGGGGAGGCTTCCTGCTCTAGGCCAGAGCTCTCACTGTAGGCTTGAACTGCCCAAGGAACAGAGGCTCAGGAAAAGATGGGTGCACACACTTAGCAACAGCGTTGTGTTGTATGAAAGCAGCCTTTTCCACACATTTCTCTCTGGAAAGTAAGAGGTATTTTACATAAGGGACAGGGACAAGCTGTAGCAAGGCTCTCACAACCATTTGAAGGTGCATTTCAAAGCCCTCTAAAGTGCTGTTAGCCACTGCCCTGACACAACAGCAGATTAACATTAGCACAGGTCGTACACCTAAGTATGAAATTTCCTTGAAAAATAAAGTAATTCTGCCAGATGATGAAACAAAGATTTTACTCCACTGGAAGCACTAGAATATCACATTTTACCCCTGATCTGCTGTCTTTTCAGAGAAATACATTAGTATGATGAACATGGCATTTTGTGTAAAGGCAGAAAAGCGGCAAGATCAATTGTTCGCAGTGGCAATACTCAGTAAGTTTCACTCAAACCATTCACTGTCCATTCTCATCCAACTTTCTACATTTGCAAATATATTTGTATTCTTCTAAGATGTTCAAAACTTAGAAACTGTTTGAAACAGAGGCAGACAGTTTATCACTGACTTCTCAGCTTCATTACAATTGCACAGCCTCTGAAAGAGTTTTCATTTTACCAAGTAAGTAGGTGACTTCATGCTAGAGCAAGGTGCAACATCAGTATTCTTTTGCTATACAAGTTTTCAGAACTTGTGTTAAAATGCATTGTAATACAGTAAAGTCCCTGAAATATTATTTTTAGATAGTTAATTTGATAAGAAGAAAACAGCAGGTGGCAGCATCAGTTGCTAGTGACACGTCTGATAGGCTTTTAGGAGCAGCATTATCTGCTGTCAAAAAAACTGTACTGCATATACCCACAGCAAGATATTTATTTTCACTTATATGTAGCAGACTATTTGGTCTGTGAAAGAATAAAAAACACACTCTGCTCTAGTGCAGTTCTGAGTTTCTGTATTTCCAGACATCACTTCCATTGTCTGGGATATCACAGCACAAACCAAACAGAATTTCTGAACTGAGGTGACCCCTGTCTCTTTATAAACATAGACTGTTTTACACAGAGAGACATGATTAACCCAGATGTGTTCATGGATTCTGAAGGGAAGGACAGTTAGTGGAAGAGATGGATTATGGAGGCTGTTGAGTCTCCAGGTATAAAGGCATTTTATGGTGAACTAAGTGTTTGCAGTAATGATACTGGTCTAGCTAATCCTGCACCAGCTAAGGGAAAGATTGCTCCAGGACAGATGCATGCACATAAAAGGGTTTGCAGCTGTAAAGTTAAAATGCCCTTCACATGATATAGCACCAAATCAGTCAGATCTTTATTTTTCAAATGAGGAAACCCCAGTTTTTTAATTTAGGACATCTTTCACTGCATGAGGTAATTTGACTTATATAATGGTTGGGGTTTGTTGTTTGTTGTTTTTTTTTTTTTTTTTACGGTTGTTCCTTCCCTCTCGCATTTTGCTGAATCAGGACTTTCAAACGTTTAAAGCTCCAAATGCTTTCCTGCCAGGACCAAAGCAGGTTGCCATTTCACTCCATTACTGGTATTCTTTAACAGAATTAATAAGCAGCTGAGCAGCTGGTAAGGTGAACAAAATTAAAACCATATGCTGGAAAAATATTAAGAGGACTGTAGAGATGACCCAGACCTTATCCCAGTTCATAGAGAACTTGCAGGCCTTCCGTTAGCTTACTGCTTTTCAACATACTTCAGTGTGGACCTTTCAAAGCTTTTAACTGGAGCTGGTGACCCTCACACACACCTATGGAAAAGAGGCTTCTTTTGACCACTTCGCAGGTTGCCAGAACTGAGCAGCTGCTGGGATCACAGGATGTCTCTTTCGCTCTCTCCGTTTCTATCTCTGCCTTTTGTACCTCTGTTCAAAAGGACAGATATAAAACTAATAAAAATGAAGGACTTCAGAGAGGCAAAATCACCCTTTCCTGAAAGTTATTGTTAATAATAAAGTCCTTCAGAGTCAATTACAAATTGCAGGCTGTACAGCCTTATTGCTTCTGCTGCAACTGATGAACTGTGACTGCTTGCAAGTAAATGAAGAAACATGTTGCTCACACAGAAGGAGGAACAGATTTGAATACATTTCTGCAGAGCTCATGGAACTGAAAAGTGGAAATAATAATGTTTTTCAACAAGTCAATGGATGTGACTGAACCCACACAGGAAGAAGATACCGTGCAAGAGAGCAACAATTTTGCAGGGTCACTCTCAAAGCCAAACCACACTCTAAACTTGGTTGTTTTGTGTTGCTTTGCTGTTTTGTATTTTTGTTTTGGTTTTTTTTGGTATCATAACTATGGACACTTCCCCTCTCCCCACACTTTTTTTAATTTAAACATACAGAATTATGTATGATGCATAAAACCCTGTGTTTCACACCTATGCCTTTCACTGAACAATCACCTTTTACAGGAATGCCAGTTCTTTGGTAAAAGGTAAAATATAGCATATCACATCTCTCCTAAAGCTATAGATATACCTGTGCAGCACTTTGAACTGTTACTGGGTGATTTGAAATCTGCTGATAAAAGATCTGAGGACTGGACCTAACCTGCCAATAACTATGAGTTAGTGGCCTTAAATAGCAAAATATAAAAATGACCCATGTTGTCTTCATTCTCATGTTTGTTAAGGTAACACTATTATCTCCATTTCACTCAACAGATGGAAAATATATCATGCTTTGACTTTTAAAACATCTTCATAAATGCTCTGCATAGCATTGTTCTCCTTTGGTGACTGAGAAAGCTAAATCCCATTTTCAAAAGTAGTGTAGGCAATTATGAGTCCAACCTCCAATGAAAACAAACAAACAAAAAAGCCTTTTATTTTAGACACTGGGACTAAACATTTACCTTACAAAACTCCTGGCCAAAAGACAGCCTGTGTAGAAACAAGTGCAGGATAAAAAAAAATCCATTTTCCAAAACTTTGTGTAGTTATTGGATAATGTGAATCAGCTTCTTTATTCTTGGATCTTGAATAAAATTCAGTGGAAAGAAATGTGCAGTCTTATTTATTTTGTTGTTATACCCTGAGTTGCTGCTTTTGAACATGCAGTACTCAGTAAACTCATGTTCCACGCCATGGCTAAGAATAATGGTAAAAAATGAAAATCACTGGAGAGCTTACAGGATAATGAAACCACTGCATTTCATGTTAGCTAAATAAAAATACTCAATACCTGCTAAAAAATAAAATTCAAAGCTTGCCTGACCTGCCCAACAGAAACTACTTGGGAACCATAGCACACAATGGTCCCTTTTGGGGACATAATTCTTACAGGACCACAGAGTATGAGAACCCAACTTCCCCCTTTCAGTAGGAAAATCAGAAGAAATAGGAATAAGCAGTTTCCCTTGCACACACAGTATTACCCTTCCCTTTACATACTGTTCAGCATAGAAACATGTGGCTTGGAGCCAAAAGACCCTTCTGAAGGAAAATGATTTTAAATTTTATGGGAACCCAGTCTTCCCTTGAGTGCTTAGCATCAAAATGGATCCACACCCTTTCATACAGCACACACTTAGCTATTTACCTTGTCTGATGTGGCTGGTGCAGCACCAACTCTTTCCTTGACTGGTCTTAGATGGATCACTTGCTGAGCCAGACCCAAAGCCTGGGCCTTTATCAGATTTAGTGGGGCTAGTGCTTGATTGCCCTACAGTGCGGCTACCTCCTCTGCAACACTTTTCCTGCACCATGAGACGGTCAGGAAAGAAGGTTCGGCCACAGTTTCTACAGGGCAGGAGCTGGGCTTGAGCACTCTGATAAGCTGCCTCGTTTTCAGCTGCAAGCGTATAGGAACCACCAGTAAGGACCTCAGGTTTCTTGGGCTCAGGTCTTCTGAGATGACTTGGTAGCTGATAGTTTTCAGTACGCCACTTCTCTAGGCACTGGGGTTCATGTATAGATATAGACTGTGATCCAAATTCTCTGCCACAGATATAGCATATCTTGAAGCAAGGTCTTCTTTGTGGGATGATGGGCTGATTTGGTGGCATCTGAGATATGTTTGAAGACTCTGTTTTGCTACTATTGCAGTGCCTGGTCTCCTGTTCTTGGGTCCAGCTTCTGGATGCACTACTTTGGGCAAAATTCCGGGAAGATCTGACACATTAGGTGGTGAAACCTGCTCTGAAGGCAAGATGCTAGAGACACTAGCATGGGCTTCTCTGGCTCTTGGCAAAGCATTACAGGTTTTCTTCACATTCTTATTCTCGATATTTCTTTCCACGAAGAGTACATTTCAAGAAACTTCTCTGTCTCTGACACAAAAAGGTCTTGGGAAAGTTCTTGTTAGCCAGCATGAAGCTCCATCTTCTTAATTCAGTTTCATGGGCCAGACTATTCTAGGGACTTCAAAGCTTGAAAACTGCATTTAATGGCCATTTCAGTAGTGAAAGAGGGTTTCTGTGTGGTTTTGGTCTGTCTTTTGGTTTTACATGATCCTGAAATAAATTAAATCAGGACATACTAATGAGCACCACCTCTCTTGTTAAGGATACCAACCAATATTTTATCACAAGGATGAGTTTGCATTAGTATTACTATTATATTTTTAAATAGCAGACAGATAACATCACATACATTCGACCTCTAGTGATCAGCTGAACCATGTAAATCTAAATTCTAGTCTCAGAGAGTGTAAACTCCTAAAGGAAATGAAAGAAGATGGTTCTGCACAAACAGAAGCTGCTGAAATACATGTGAGTTTGAGTATAATCAATGAGTATAATCAATATGCTTTATTTTCAGTTATTGACAGAACTGGTATTTTTGACACAGTCTTTAATTTGTAAGCCATTTATGTTGATAGTTAAACATAATTTCACTGCCTCAAGAGAAATTGAAAACAAGTCCCTTAATGGGATATTAATGTCCGATCTCCAAAGCGACAGACAGAAGAAATGTTCCCAGTCTGTAGGTTGAAGAAGTTATTAGGCCCCCTTCACTCAGCACTTGTGAGGTGGTATATCAAATTCTCTGACCAGTCTTGATTCTCCCACTACAGAAGAGATATTAATAAACTGTAACAAGTTTATCAAAAGGCTACTGAGATGCTTTGTGGCTGAACAGCATGACATATTGGGTCAAGGACAGCAAAAAGAGCTTTTTCAAATACATGGCAGACAAAACTAACACCAGAGGCAATGTAGGCCCACTGATGAACGGGATGGGTGCCCTGGTGACAGAAGATGCAGAGATGGCAGAGTTACTGAATGCATTCTTTGTCTCTGTCTACTCTGCTGCAGGAAGTCCTGAAGAGCCCTGTACCCCTGAGACCTCAGATGAAGTCAGGTTGACGGAGCGACTTGCCTTAGTCGATGAGGAATGGGTTAGAGATCAGTTGAGCAATCTGGACATCCATAAATCCATGGGTCCAGATGGGATGCACCCGTGGGTGCTGAGGGAACTGGCGGAAGTCATTGCTAGACCACTCTCCATCATCTTTACCAAGTCTTGGGAAACGGGAGAGGTGCCTGAGGACTGGAGGAAAGCAAATGTCACTCCAGTCTTCAAAAAGGGCAAGAAGGAGGAACCGGGTAACTATAGACCGGTCAGCCTCACCTCCATCCCTGGGAAAGTGATGGAACACCTTGTCCTTGGTGCCATCTTAAGGCATATCAAGGATAAGAGGGCTATGAGGGGCAGTCAACATGGCTTCACCAAGGGGAAATCATGTTTGACCAATCTCTTAGCCTTTTATGAGGAAATAACACGGTGGATGGATGATGGCAGAGCGGTGGATGTGGTCTACCTTGACTTCAGCAAAGCATTTGACACAGTCTCCCACAGCATCCTCACAGCTAAATTGAGGAAGTGTGGACTGGATGATCAGGTAGTGAGGTGGACTGTGAACTGCCTGAAGGAGAGAAGCCAGAGAGTTGTAGTCTATGGGGCTGAGTCTAGTTGGAGGCCTGTAACTAGTGGAGTGCCTCAAGGGTCAGTACTGGGACCGGTATTATTTAATATATTCATCAACGATTTAGATGAGGGAATCGAGTGTACTATCAGCAAGTTTGCTGATGACACTAAGCTGGGAGGAGTGGCTGACACGCCAGAAGGCTGTGCTGCCATCCAGCGAGACCTGGACAGGCTGGAGAGTTGGGCAGGGAATAACTTGATGAAATATAACAAGGGAAAGTGTAGAGTCCTGCATCTGGGCAGGAACAACCCCAGGTTCCAGTATAGGTTGGGGAACGACCTGCTAGAGAGCAGTGTAGGGGAGAGGGACCTGGGGGTCCTAGTGGACGACAGGATGACCATGAGCCGACACTGTGCCCTTGTGGCCAAGAAGGCCAATGGCATCCTGGGGTGTATTAGAAGGGGGGTGATTAGTAGGTCGAGAGAGGTCCTCCTTCCCCTCTACTCTGCCCTGGTGAGACCCCATCTGGAATATTGTGTCCAGTTCTGGGCCCCTCAGTTCAAGAAGGACAGGGAGCTGCTGGAGAGAGTCCAGTGCAGGGCAACGAAGATGATTAAGGGAGTGGAGCATCTCCCTTATGAGGAAAGACTGAGGGAGCTGGGTCTCTATAGTTTGGAGTAGAGGAGACTGAGGGGTGACCTTATTAGTGTCTATAAATATATAAAGGGGGAGTGTCACGAGGATGGAGCCAGGCTCTACTCAGTGGCAAACAATGATAGGACAAGGGGTAATGGGTACAAACTGGAACACAAGAGGTTCCACTTAAACTTGAGAAGAAACTTCTCAGTGAGAGTGACGGAACACTGGAACAGGCTGCCCAGGGAGGTTGTGGAGTCTCCTTCCCTGGAGACATTCAAAACCCGCCTGGACACATTCCTGTGTAACATTATCTAGGTGTTCCTGCTCCGGCAGGGGGATTGGACTAGATGGTCTTTCGAGGTCCCTTCCAATCTCTAGCATACTGTGTGATACATATAAGGAGAAGATTAGGGCACTCGAGTCTCGAGAAGACAGTGCTAAACATTTTTCAGTTTTTCAACTGTATCGCTTAAATGTTCATTTCTCAGAGAGACAATATTTTGTGCTGGCCCTCCAAGGATCAGAAAATAAAATTCAGACTGTAAGCATGTTACAGTGGGGGTTATTGTTTTATTGCAAGAATACAAAATAACCAGCAGTCTAGCTTTAGTCTTAAGCAAGTAAAAGATTGCATAGATAGGGGACTGCAAAGGACAGCAAGGTCACCTTTGTATACTTTATAATAAAAGAAACATCTGAGTTAAAAATTATCTTGCCCTTGCAGAATATTTCTAACTTTATCTCAATCCTTCCAACTTTTAGGGGGTTCCTAACTCACAAATTTATCCACCCACTTATCCACTGACTCATCTCAGGTCACTCTCTGCTGCAATCAGCCAATCTGGATCTCCTCTGAACTGCTTTTTTTTTGATGTCACAATGGGAGACTTTGCTTCCACTCAACAGTCTTTTCACCCTTATCACTCATACCTCTGAACACGGGCTGAATTTTCCTACACCCAAGGGCATGCTTTTTCATTGAGATTTTTCTTCTTCACAGTTTTGTTTTGAAATGACAAACTTACTTAAACTTTGTCTGTGCCACTGAGAAGCACTGATTGGGCCCTAGTTTCTCACAAATATTCTAGGACATGGGCAACAGTGAAAAAAACAAATTGTCAGCAGGTTCACATCTTGCCAGGCACACAAAGATGTTTAGATTGCTACATTCATACTGCTTGCTTAGATATTCACAAAGCTGCACATTCCAGGGACACTTGTGACAGTCTCATTTAACAAATGTCCTATGAAGCTCAAATTTGTTTGTATGCAAATTGGAAGATGTGAAGACCATCAGAGACAATCTGTGGTTTGTACTGGAATAAATGTCTGTGAAACAATTGTAGATAGCTGTAAAAATTCTTGAGAAACATTATACTTATATTTAATTCCCCCCTAACTTCAGTCTGTAGAAAATACGGTTAAGTACAAGGCTGTAGCATCCTCTCATGTCTGAAGTATCAGATAAGCATATAATGTATGTTAAACGATAAACAAAACTACAGCACTGGAATTTTTGTTTCAGATATCAGAAAGACTTTTAGTTGTCTGACTCCTATACAATATATAATTGTGACATACATTGTGGAAAAGCATGCTACAAACAAACACAGAAACAAAGGTTTCAAGCAGTTTGGACAGTAGCAATTAATAATACTTAGTTGGGTATCTAGCTGTTTTCAAATTGGTGCTATCGCATTTTAAAGTTCCTTTTGCCCCTACCAGCAGTGTTCCCTTAATGCAAAAAATCTTTGCGAACTGTGTAGAGAGTATTTCAACAGATCCCAAAGCCTTTCCCTTGTTTTCCTTTTAGAAGGCCTGAATTTGCTTACCATAATTTACAGAAAGCTAATCACTTTGTACCACAACTTGCCACTGCAGGAGTTTGCCAGTTTTGACAAGGTTGTGCATATGATTCAGTTAGGTGAATGTCAATAGTATGTGAAATTTAAATTTGCAAACTAGCATTGAGGCTACTCTACTGCAAAGATCTTTCAAAGTCTGGGAGAGTTTCCAGGGAGGATCGCCTGTTGGATGAATCCAAGTTGGGAAGTAGCCAAGCTTTTAAGAGGATGAAGAGAATGAAAAGCTAGGGGAACATTAAAGGGTCATGAAGGCAGGGGAGATAAGGGTGATTGGAGGGTCACAGGAAGGGAGCATCAGAAAGTTCAGCTACATTTCATGGAACTTCTGAACTCTGCAAGGTCGTATTCATATCCTATTTATTGATTTATGTCAGAGTAATATTTTCTGCTACCTGAGAGGATTCTTAAAGCAACAGTGGTCATCGAACTGCCTGCCACATGAAGAATGTTAGGTGACTAAATCTGTTACCATTAAGAATGAATCAGTCAATAAAACATGCTATAAACAACCTATTAACAATATAACCTATTGTTGGATTTCCAGGCTTGCTATTGTAAATACTTCATGAGAGAATTATGCTTCCTTGTGGGGATTACACCATTTGGTCTATATTTATTCCTGCCAAGTTGACCTCTATTATTTGGAAACTTCCTATAAATTCAGTGTGAACTGAAAAGACATATGAGCAGTTAAATTCTTCTTTTCTCAAGAGCAGTGGTAAAGGTGTGGAGTAAATCAGTGCTGGGATTTAACATTTCTTTTCAAAACATAAAAAATTCCTTTTTTTTTTTCTTTAAAGATGTTTCAACATGTCATTTAATAAAGTTGAAAGGTGCAGCTGATCATTGCATATAGCTGTGGGAAAA